CCCCCCACCACCACCATCCCACTGCTCGCCTGATTTGCACCTACCCTGCAAGCCTCAGCCAGGGGCGGAAGCGCTGGCAAGCGGAAGCAGACGAGGGGCGGGGGTGGGAGGTGGGGGGCGGGGCGGTCCACGGCCGTCGGAAGCACCTGAGCAAAGAGGACGTCTGGCCGGCACCACAAGGCATCCGGCCAGCGATCCGGGGAACAGATGCCTGACAAGGAACCCAGCGAGGGTGCGTTTATGTATTGCTTGTATTTACCTGCTTTTAGCAATGCTGGCTTATTCGTCTGAGTTGTGGTGGGGGGGGTCCTGGAAAGAGAAAATTGCTGACAGCAGTGAACCCCTCCACCCCCCCCCACCCCACCGCATTACCTTCACACGGTCTCACAGTTATTCAGTCTAAGGGTACAACTGCACGGCCCCCCTCCCAGTAATCTGGGCTGTTCCCAAGATCCAGCTTTCGCTTTCCACAAGATTTCCCTGGGCCGGATTAGCTCTGCAAGTTTTACTTATCAGAGGTAAATCAGCATATATTTTTCTGATTGCAGAATATTTCACACGCAACCCTGCACAGGATTAGTGGATAGAATATGGAAGGAATATTTCAGTAATCTACTATGAACACATATTACAATATGGGGCCAGAGCATTGCCACCGGTTAAGACGTTCTACACAACTTCAGCTGCTCAGCTGGTTCTTCTAAGCAGAGTGACTTTCTGTTTGGTCCTTTCATACAGCAGGATATTCGCGCTGTGGTGAGTCGGAGGTCCAACAGAAGTTTTAAGATATTCGAACACATCAGCTCCGTGTCACAAGCAGAAGACCCTTTAATTCCTTCGGAGCCAACATGAGCTTTTCACACTGCATTTTGTCGCTGTGTTGACTCACCTTGTCCAGGTCAACGATCACTCACCAAGTGGAAAGAGGAAGGAGAAATTAATAAGAAGTTTATTGAACTTCAGCTCTCTGAAGTACGCAGCCCTTGAAGTGTGTGGGAGGTGTGTGTGTGTGTGTGTGTGTGTGTGTGTGTGTGTGTCCTAGGTACAATGGATTCTTATAACTACATAATCAAAGCAGTACATGCAAAGCTCTTGGACAGAATCGGCTACTTATGTTTGTGTTCAGGAGGATCCAAAAAAACATCATGCTTGATACATCTGGTTTTGCTTATGAAAATGACTCAAATTAATTAAAAGTAGGCAAGCAGAAATTTCCTTCTCTACCCTGACATTCTTAAGCATTTCCTCTCTGGTAAAACGTTCCTAAAAATAATTTTTACAATGGGTTTAACGTTTATAAATATAACACCAGTACCCAGCCATTGACAGCATGCTGAAAGAAGGAGGAAATCTTCTCAGAGCTGGAAGCAAATGGGAGAGAAGCTTCTGGATGAGGATGAGCTGGGTTTTTCCAAACTTGTAATAAAGACTGAAGATGTATCCTTTGCGAAACCAGCTGCAGGATCAGGTGTGGAAAAAATAAATGACGCTGTAAAAACATACAAGGACATGAAAAAAAATCACTAATCTGTCACATGAAATCTGCTGAAAGATTAAGGACACCTGGCGTAAATTATTATTATTATAAAATATTGCAGTTCTTCAAAATTTAATCTTTCAGTTACATTGAGTTATAATTATGCAAGGAAAGTTATGGTTAGAATTACAATCAAAAAGCATATACTACGACAATAATGTATTTCAGCCACACTTAAATATAATTTTAAAAGCTAAATAAAATTAAATAAACCAAAGAATGAGCTAGTTAATAAAAAATCCCGATTTGGATATAGAGTAAGAAAATTCTCTTGTGGACCATTTAATGAATAAACCTTCGTAACACTTCATCAAAATGTTTTTATTCTATCAAATCTATTCCACTCATATTCAATTTGTCACGCTTCGCTTTTAATATCAGCAAATTACAAATGCTCTTCAGAAAAGGGGGTTTATACAGAGACCGATTCAAATTTGCTAGAGCAGACTTGCATCGCTGGCATAAACAAACAACCGTCTCTCCATCCATCCATTTTAAAAAAAAGACACTTATCAAATCAGGGTCTCGGTGATCCGGAGCTTATCCCAGGAAGCAAGGTGAGGGGACAGCCTGGACGAAGCTTTTACATGTGCAGTTATTCAGAGCAGAACCGCATTTCCCAGAGGAAAATGCAGACGAACACGGGAAGTACACACAAGGGACACCTATGCTGCTGAAACTGGACACCAGCGTGACCTTTAAGGTAGAAGCCGCGTCTGCGTAAAACTGCAGTAACTGCCTAAATTACTGCAACGACAACTTTATAAATACAGCACAATTCAATTAAAGTTAAAATAAAATTAATAACCAAATAAAACAATGCTAAATACAATGAAATTATATTAATCATCCAAAATTAATTACAATAAAAATATTCTATTGACTCAGAGAATATTCAAAAATATTACTGTAAGACCTTATGAAGCTGTTCATTTTATAAAGAATTCTCTTTATTTTACCCTTGACTACAAATCCGTAGTGGTCATACTGACCTACAGTAGCGTTATTTAATTTTTAATTAAGGGCTTGTCGCCTCCTAATTATCATGCAGACGTTACCGATGGAATCTAGATATTTTGCTCCCTCTAGTGGTAAAATAAAAATTTGAAACCGGTTTAGGCCTACAGAATGTAGTTCTGGTTTTATATGGGCATAGATTTTTTTCTGTCTTTTCTTGTTACAGTTTTTATTAATTTAATCGTTAGTTGGGTTGTATGTAAAGAAACTAAATTATAATCCCCGCAGTTCATCCAGTCACACAATTTTTAATTAAATATGCCTACATATCAAGTCTTTTTTACTGGTAGTCAACTTATAACTTTTTGATTAATAACTTATAACTAATAACTTATTACTAATTACTTATTACCGAGTACCCAGATCCCTGCAACCACCATATATCCACAAGAAGCCCAGCAATCAGCAGTGGTGCAGGAATAAGTGGCGCTAAGGGTGCTGCAGCGCCCCCTCGTGTCTGTTCCGTCAAAGAAAAACATAGTGTTACGTTATTTATCTGGTGATAGCTGGTCACTTTACACGGACGGGTCTAGGGTAAGAGGAGATCCGGAACATAGTCCAGACCTTAGTCGACGAGTCAAAATTCAAGATTTAAAAGTAGAAAATTCTGATTAGTTTAACTATTGTTGGCTCTCTTAATATACACCCAACACTCGCTACTCTGTCCGCTGCATTTTGTGTAAAGCCAAATATAGAAAAAAGCAGAGAAGGGGGCAATGCGACGGACTTTAGTTTGCTTAGAAAAAAAAAGTTTGTCCGAGTCTATAGTCCGTCTCTTGCTTTCAAAATAGGCTACATTAACCATGTCCATCGCGGCTCTGAATTTAGCGTTTCATGACAACATATAGCTAACCACATACATCATATATATAACAAACAAAACAAGGCTAAAAAGGATTCGAGAATTAAGCCTGGTGTCGGACCTTTAACTTTGATCATTTCTCTATAAAGGCTACCGTAGTTAGCTGTTGTTAGCTACCGATGATAGAAAAGATATTCAGAATAGTCCATTAGTCGTTCTGACTTTCAGCGAAACGATTTAACCAAACCTATAATAATGCAGTACGTGGCTGGGGAATGCTGTCTCAGATCATTGTCACTCCTTAGTATTTTCCCTGAGTTTCAACCCCAGTACCACTGGTTGAGGTTATCAAAGGAACTGTATTCGTCACTGTGCTTCTTCAGGTAGTCGCAGGCGCGACAGGCATGCTCTATCGGAAAGTTTACGTATTTAACTTTGAAATGGCGTTTACACTCAAAGTAGCGATGGTACTCCGTCTCGTTTTCGTCCAAGAAGTGGAGGCAACTGGCCAGCTCTTTCGGCGAGAGGAAGTCCTCAACGTGGATGAAGGCATCTCCAGGCACAATATTCTCATACTGTTCCCTAGGTGGTCCGAGAACAACAGGCACAGTCCCTAGATCGAGGGGCTTGTACAACTTTTCTGTGATGTAGTCCTTGTGTTTGGAGTTCTCGAATGACAAGTAAAACTTACAGCTGGACACCGTCGACACATACTCTTGGTTTGTAAGGTATTTAGTTACGCGGCCAAACACGGTTATGTTGATGTGCTCTTTCAGCAAATTATAGAACTTCACCCGTTCATCAGCCGGGTTCCAGTTGCTCACAATCCAGCAAACTAGGAGACTCTTCTTCGGAATTACGTAGAGGTCGTCCTCCTGCTTCGGAATTAGTGTTCCGTGAATGGATATATTAGCATCCAGGCGATAATTCATCGTTAGGTTGAAGAGGTTGTTGATACCTGGAATTCTCTGAGAGTTAGATGGTGATTCAAAGTTCATCCAAACCCATTTCTGGAAGGGCGGTCGCACCATTGAAGGCAGATTGGATAGATCATTTCTGATGTCTCTGTGATGAATGACGAGCCCATGAGCTTTGCTATACACGTTCCTGTCTGTCGTTATGAGGCAGTTAGTGATGTTAAACAGAGCAGCGCAGGACTCAAATTCATAATGCTGGCCAAATATCTGAGTCCAGACCAGGACAATAGTCTGCTTACTGTTGTCTTTTATTGCCAATGGTGGGGGTGTTATGAATTTATTTGAGAGTAGCTTAATATAGTTATTATTTGCCAAGGGTGGAGGAGCTGTGAATTTGTTTGAGCGTTGATTAAAGCTGTTGCATAGGTCATAGACATTGAAACAAACAAAAATTAACAGAAAAACAAGAAACAGGATATGAACTCTCCTGAACTTCATGCTTGAACCTCTTATAAAAACAAAATAAAAATCATAACGTGACAGTTATTGATTCATGCATACCATAAAATTCCACCTGTTCATACCTAGAGTGTTTTCTTCAGTATTATATTCTGCCATGTATTGGATCCAAACATGCCTATGATGTTTGACAATCTGTCCTCAGTCTTCACCATATGATCCTCTTAGTAAAGATTTAATTAATTTTTAAGATAACATCTAAAGCATATTTTTATTTATCCCTATGACATTAAAATGTATCCATCTAACTTCCATACGCACATATTTAATGCAGGGTCCCAGTGAACCTCAGGCCTGTCCCAGGAAGTATCAGATCCAAACCAGTGGACACCCCAGATGGGACACCAGTCTATCAGTGTGCAAACTTACGCCCTATAAGCAAATTGAAGATACCAAGTCTTCCACTGGAGACTGCCTGAAATACAAAAAAAAAAAAAAAAAACAATAAGGAAATGCAAACGTCGAGGTTTGGGCACTTAACAGTTTTTACGAGGCTTCTTGTACACACTCCATTTCCATGAAAATTACGTTTCCCAATTCCACATCATGATGTTCCATAGCTTTCTCACTTGTGAATGTTTAGGATGAGCAAATCCACATTGATTTTATAGCTGTACAGCTACTTGACAGACCGCGCACGCTGGTTTGAAATGTGTGTCACAGGTTTATGTCACAGCTTTACCACTTTCATCATTTAACACGAACTGTCCCCCAAACATGCTTGAAACCCAACCAGGTCACCTTTTGTTTAGTTGGTGTAGTTTTGCAGGTGTCGAGCATGTCTGTGGTGGGGAAATTGCTGGTCATCCTCCATTCCCGTCATCAACTCTGGTCGGGAGCTGCAGGTAATGACAAAGAACAAGGTTGCGTGAACAAGCAGCTGAAATGAAGTTTCTCCACTGGACTGCCAACTTCGCTCTGGGTGACAGGGTGAAGAGTTCGGAGACCTGAAAAAACCTTGAAATTCAGCCGGTGTTACGGTAAATTCAGTTCCTCCATGTTCCCCTTCTCTCGCACTGATGTGAAATCATGAAGTCACCCGCTATTTAGGCGGATTCTCTGTCGTTTTAATGTATTTCTACAAGTGTTGAGGTAAACAAGCCATATATGCGAAAACATTGCATGTTTTTCCGATGAGAATTTAAATTATTTAAATCAATGGTAATTGATGTTTTCTGAGAAAATATTAAAAATACAGTGGTACCTTGGTTCTCAAACTCACTAGAACTCGAATTTCTTAAAAGTTTGACCTAGAACTCGATCTGAATATCAGAAGTCGAACCGTGAACGCTGACCTACAGTAATATAAATTGTATGCGCAAGGAAATGAGTCATACTACAATGCAATTCTTACTTGAATGCCTTCTTCACAGACTGGACAATTAACCAAATAAAGCAGCACAACATTACAGTAACTAACAATAAATAAACCACTAACTTACGTGTATAATAGAGCATTTATGTTATTTATTTAATCAAATTTTACCCGGTAAATTAACTGAAAACCAGTTCTCACTGCTTTACATGATATTCGGGAGAAATAGCAGATTACGCATCGGAACTGCCTGGGATACAAACGTCATGCGTGTAACTAAACTTTTCAGCCAATAAGAGCAAAGGTGTGTCGTCACGGAGGCGGTTCCAGTTTGTGCAGCAGGGTAACCGTAATGCATTGCGTCAGGATCAGAATGCATTGCTGTCAGAATGCCAGCGCTGTAAGCAAGTCGAACGCACCCAATGACTGGACTGGGGAAACAAACTGAAACGCGGACTTAATACAGAGGACTGATGACAACAACCAGAAACAGTATGGAATCAGATTTGTGCCAATATTATAACTCTCCGTGTTCTCTGATCGTTGTTTTGCCGTTTTGACCTCGAGTTTCTGTCCAGCCCCTATGACCCCCTCCGTACATCGCCCGACCCCAGCCTGTTCCACGACTACGATCCAGCCTGCTCCTTCTGTTTATTCTGAGCAACACGTCCGCCAGGAAACATTCTGGTCTTCAGACAGGTTTCGCTCATTTATTAAAGTCACTTGCACCTGATTCCGCGACAGCGTCCTCTTTGCCCCTACCTAAACCATCACAGAAAGATCTCGCCTTCGAGTTGCAGCCTTCCGCGTTCCCTTCAGAGCGCTCTAAAGTGGCTTAAATAATCATGACTCTGACCGGCTCTGCGAGAGAGTGGGCAACTGCTGCCTGGGATGCCGGCACTTTTGTCCCCGGATTTGTCAGGTGTTCCGGCAGAGTACCACGACCTGAAGCAAGCTTTCAGTAAGTCCCAGACCACTTCTCTTCCGCCGCATCGGCATTTTGATTGTGCGATAGATCTGCTACCTGGTACCTCCCCTCCCAGGGGCCGTCTATATTCTCTTTCGGGCCCCGAAAGAAGGGCTATGGAGGAGTACGTCAACGGAGCTTTAGCTACAGGCATTATCCGTCCTTCTTCTTCCCCTGCTGGGGCTGGTTTCTTTTTTGTTGATAAGAAGGACGGCTCTCTTCATCCATGCATTGACTATAGGGGTCTCAATGAGATCACCATTAGGAATCGTTACCCCCTGCCTTTGCTATCCTCGGTCCTAGACCTTCTCCAGGGAACCAAGGTCT